GTTCAACAATATTTAGATGGAATTATATCTGGATGGTATGAGAATTGAAACTTTAGGTAAAATTCTATGGTATTTGGATTTGATCAGTAAGAACACTGGAATCAGCGACCCTCTGTATGCTCAAATTTGATTCTGAGATCCAAGCATTTGCTTTGTCTCTTTGCAGTGGTAGAGTTTCTGGCTAGCCATTTGCATTTGGATAAGAAAGACATTTGTCCTCTCATTAGATGCTGCTCACACTCCTTCGTTTGATTATTTTGTAATCTGGCTCAACGAGGCAGTTGAGAAATCAGACTGAGATGCAGATAAGCACTTGTGGAAATCCCTCTGAAATAACTTTTAGTTTAGCCTTAATGGTTTTCTAATTTGGGAGCCAATCATCTGGATAAATGCCAAATTAACTGGATAATTGCTCAACCCTGCACCTCACTGTAATTGGTCCATCAGTTACTTGATGTGGCTTGAGTGTCCTGCTAGGGTCAGATGTCCTCTCCCAAGCAGGGCAAGAGAGTTTCTGCAGTGGCATTTCCTTGAGATATACTGCAGCAGTGGCTGCCAGCACACATTTTAAGTAACAGTTGGAAAAAAAAATAGGAATTTCTTCAGGACAGAGGCATCTGTTTCAGTAGCTGGAAATTTTCAGTCCTCGAAAATTCAAGTCATATTCAGAAATTACTGGGCAGACCACTACCTTTTAAGGTGGCTTATTCCACAACACAAAGCAAAGTTTTTCTGGTACAACAGCCATACTGCCCTTTATAGTCTTTGAAAATTGGACAAAATATCCAGGCAGTTGGCAAAGTATCTTGTTCTCTGTTTGTTTTCTGGCCTCAGCTGCTGTGAATGTTGTGCATTTGGCATCTCCAAGCTATTTTTCTTCTCTGGAAAATTGACTTTGGGAGACCTACTTTATTCTTCACCCTATCTTTTATTTAATTAGATTTTTATTTTTTATATTAGTTGCAGTTTATTAACTTTATATCCCAACTGTAGCCCCCTTCCTTATTCCCTCCCAATTCCACTCTTCCTCCCTTGTCTCCTCCCTGCCCCTCTCTAAATCCACTGATAGGGGAGGTCCTCCTCCCCTTCCATCTGACCCTAGCTTATCAGTTCTTTTCTGGACTGGCTACAATATCCTCCTCTGTGGCCTATTTCACCCTATCTTCTAGCACATATGTCTCTAACCTAGGACCTCATCTCTGTCACCAATGGGACAACCAGGGGCAAACTGAAATGTTTCCTTAAATAAAACCAGCATCCATGCCTAAAAGTAAAAATAACTCTGAGGTGCGATGTGTGTTTCAAAAAGCTCCGTTCTGTATCACACCTGGGCTAGAGTTCACTTAACGAAGCCCTTATCTCTGCTTACTCTGTCTTCTTGACTATTCTTTTGAGCTTACGGATTTTCCCTGGAGATCACTCCCTTAATACTTTAGCTCATATAGCTATAAGTATCTGTGTCTCTGCTCTAAGAATTCAGACATCCTCTATCTCATAATTATCTACATCGCCTAAGAATTCTATATCAAACATAACAGAGAATTTTACATTTTGGTGACTCATTGAACAATCCTTTCACTCTGTGAACATGAGTAGAAATATTATTACATTAGGATGATTATGTTTTAACCAAGAAAATAGGTAGAGTGAACATTGGCTATCAAGTTTCCTAGTAATTTCACGGTTATAGTCACCTCAATTCTAATATATTTGCAGGAGTTAAAGAGAGGGATGGAATTATGTTTATTCTCCAGGGTCTATATGCAGCACCCCCACCCCCAGATCTAGGGATTGATTATGACCCCAAATCTCATCTATGACATAAGAACTAACAGAAATGAAGATTTGGAGAATGGGTAAGATGACTCAGTGGGTAAAGATTCTTGCAACCATACCTGATCACATGAGTCACATATGATCTCACAAAGGGAATAAATAAAACCATAATCTAAAAATTTAAAATATTTGGGTAATAGTTCCCTGGAGGGAAAAAAAGGAAAGCTATAATTGGTCTGTTAAAAACCAGGGCATCTCTATGTAATGTTAATGTACTGACCTCAAGATAAAACTTTCTTCATGCCCTGTGAGCAAAGCACCTAATACTTCCATTTATTATTCAGCAGCTTCAATCCATTAAAAATAGACATGTTACAAATACATTAAATATCCTCACAGAACACATAAAGCTAGACCATGGGAAAAGCCTATTAAGTATACACTTCCTAGCCATCTCTTATTCATGACATTAGGGCTATTATCTAGCATTAAAAGGGATCTCCTCCAAAGTACTGAAGAATCCTAATACTGTATCAGTAGTTGAAACTAACATAGCTTTTCTTCCTTCTCTAATGAACAGTATATAATTTCAATCCTCTTTGTTTTTGTTTCTTCAGATTAGCCTCTCAATTCTAATAAAGAGTATAAGAAACAGAATATGGAAGCTCAAAGAGTCAGGCTATTACTATTTTGCGAGGAACAAAGTGTCTGTGGAATGAAAGACTATTCTAGTCTACTACAGCTAAGCAATATCAATCTATGTTGCATTTTAAAGGATCAAATGTCTTCTCCCTTGAGGAAGAGTCTGGGGAACTGTACAGTAAACACACAGGTGACCTTAAATTAACTCCAAATACATAATGTGACAGTTTTGGGATAAAAAAATGGGCTCTTAATGATAAGGCTTTCAAATCTGTCATATAAGAGTTTCTGAAATTGTTCATTAACAATATTTCATGTTTATGTCTTGAGGTAAATTCTGTCTACACATGCATTCAGCATGAGTTGATTTTTAAAAAGACATCCAGGATTCTATATTTACAGAAAGTTTTCTGATTTCAGGCCATTTTACTCTGCTCTGACACACTCTTGGTCTTCTTTCTGTCTGAATTCTTCAAATGTAACTTGTGCAAGATTTGGCTGTCTAGTACAGACCATGAGTCAAACTCCCCTCCCTCAGCAACTACCAATCCTCTTATTTTCTGTCTTAATTTTTAAAGAGTTATTCTGTTTTTTTCATCCTCTTGCTTTCAATGCCAGTTTGGCTTGTGACTTTACTGAGATGCCATTACAGTCCTCATGGTAAATGTGGCTACAACAAGGATGGTTAATTACTTATCAGGAGTTTTCATCATCACTTTTCAGGCTCTGACTTGAAGGTATCTGTGCTTTCAGAAGTCTTGACTTGAGGTTGTAGCACCCAAGACAATGACATGACAAGGTGGTGATTTAGGGCAATAACTATACCATGAAAATGAAGCGTTCACGAACTTCTGCTGTCTACTGCATACAACACGTGTGGCTCCCTGAACTCACAGAAACGTTTGTCTTTGACAGGATTGATTCTTGTACAACCTAAAGATGTTGACAAGAAGAGTAACTGGAGACTTTCCTTCCTTCTTTCCTCCTTTCTTCCATCCCTCCCTTTTCCCCTCCTTCCCTCCCTCCTTTCCTTCCTTCTTTTCTTTCTTGGCACAGTTTATATAAATTTGATATATATTTTTGACTTAAAATGTTAGGCACAGAGAATTGCCTTCAGGGGTACAACCAGAACTTAGAGACTGGAAATGCTACCAGGTATGTGAAATGCTCTTATTTTGTACAAACATTCCGTCTATTATGGTCTAGTCAAGAACTACCGATTGCTTAGACCCTCTAAACTAAGAGGTGCTGATAAAACTGGGTAAGGTGGTTCATGCCTTTAATTCCAGCACTCCAGGAGGCAAAGGCATGTGGATCTCTATGAGTTCAAGACCATGATTCCAGGAGAGCCAAGGCTACACAGAGAAACCCTGTTTCAAAAAAAAAAAAAGGTGCTGATGAAATAATGTATAACTCTCTTTTGGTGCATTTAGACCTTTAAACTAATAATAGCTAAATTTAATTAATAATTTCTATGGGATGTATGTAAGTTGCTTTTCTGGACTTAAAAAAAAAAAAACACCTTTCAACTACTTCTTTACTGGCACATGAATCTGTTTTCTAAAATGTTATCTCCACTCCTTCATTCACCTATCATTCTTATTTATTCAGTATTTATTGAGTACCTACCATGTTCTTAATTATTTCACAAAGTTCTGAAGATACAATTATAAACTTTGACACCATAGGAAGATTAAAATGCAGTGGAAGAAAAAAAATGATGAACATGTCAAAGTATAATATACCACTGGTCTCTGCTATATGGATATAAAGATAAAGGGCAGTACTGAAATCAGTAATGAGAGAAACTGATCCAAGCACACATCATAGGACTTCCTGAGAAAGCCATGTTGGGGCTTGGAGAACAGGATGGAAAGCCCTGAAGGCAGGAGCAGAGCGTTCCATTGGCCTATGGGAAAACTGCATCCCCAGCGCTAAACGCAGCACTGAAGAACACAGATGGCATTTGATGAGCGCTGAATGAACGTAAGAATAAATGAGAGTACTGAGTAAAGAAGCTGAGAGAATGTTTCAGAACATGGATTGGGGAATTAAGGGATTAATTATTAAAGGCAAAATAGCGAGGAAGATAGGATGGTAGATATGTAGATGGGAGAGGTCAGTTCTGAAGGGAAGACAGCACATCAGCAGACCATTAGTGCAAAGTCTAGAAAGTTCAGAAATGGAAGAACAATGGTCACTTTGCCAGCTGTTCAAATAAGCCTTTCCAATCCAAGTCAGTTCTACTCCCTCCAAGCTGAAGTTGTATCAAATCATAATGATCATAGCAGATGCATTTCAGAAACTTTCTTCAATTAAGAAGTGTGCTCTGTAAAGGAATAGAAATTGAGTACCAAGGGAGCTGTGTTAGCTTCTGTAAGCATCAGAAGAGACCCGATTCAAAAGTGATCTCTTCCTGTTGCTTGGAAGGCTCTATGACTTGTTTCTAGAACATCTTCAAACCTGAGGGTCTCTTTATACATTCTCCAGGACTGAACATTTATGGTTGCCAAATCCGCTTATTACTTTAGTGACTTAAAGATATTTTCTTCTAATTTTTCCTCTCCATTATAAGGACTCACCTATTACACTAAGCTCAGCGCTGGAAAAGATAACTCCGTGTTTATTCTCTGCCACACACTGGTACATGCCAGCATCTGAGAGGTTCACTATTGTTATGTTGAGTGTTCCTTGCTCGATTTGTATTCTATCCTGTGAAAGAAAAGAGGAGTATAAAAATAGTGACCTTCCACATCTGAGAACTTAAGGCAATTTTGCTACATGTTATGTCAAGAGGGCTTAATGGGAGCAAAATAATCATCACATAAGCAATTTACATTAACATGATCTGCTTATCTGTCAAGTAAATCTGTGCCAGGTCAGATGGCAAATGGAACTAGCAGCATATCAGTTGGTAAATGGAATTTAAATTGTAGGATTCTCTTGCATTCACGGTGACTTAATAGTGAAGTCATTCAGATGGATATGTCCTGTAAATAAGTGGACTTAACCTTGAAAGCTGAAGAACTGTTTTTAGTCTATGGTTTTGTGCTAATTGCAGAAAGGGTGAAAACAATCAAATTTATCATTTAGAGTTTAAAGCCTTAAATTATCACCAGGTAGCCCTTCAAGGGCTGATAGTATTATAATCTTAGATGGGCTTACACAAATTTTTAGTATCTGTTGAGTTTACCGAAAAAGAATAGGTGTTAATAATTTACTCTAGCAGTCATCGTGGGGCTTATACCTTGGATCCCAGAACCTAGGAGGCAGAGGCAGGTAGACCTCTTAAGTTTGAGGACAGGATGGTCTATTTAGTGAGTTCTAGGTTGGTGAGGGATACATAGTGAAACTATGTCTCAAAAACAAATGTTCTGATGCTTGATTGCTGTCAATGGGATGATCTACATTTACGATGTACTTAGTAGTCAAGATGAAGGAAGAAAGACAGTATATATAGCAAAAGAACCTTCTCATGTGTCAAGCTGAAGCCATGCAACTTGAGCATCAATTTCTAGAGCACAAAGAATTCCCTGTTTTCATACTAAACACAAACACGTACACATATACACACACTCCCCGGGGCACACAAAGCTTTAGAATAAAAAAAAAAATTCTGTCTTCTGAGGGACGGTGTCTAGTTAAATAGATACTTTACTAGACTTGATCACATTGTCCTTGTCTCCTTACTTTCCATGAAGAGAGGAAAATGCCAAGTTTCTGGGAACCTGCACACTAGCAATTTGTTTGACTTTTTGTGACAGAGGGAATGATGAACCAGAGGAACCTTCCAGGGAATTGAAAGTGACCATGACATGGGTGGTCAGAAGAAATTGTTCCCTTTCCTACCATTGTCCAGTCACATTTTCTTTCCTAGGTGTACTACGCAGGGAAGAAATCTGAGCATGCAAGCTGGCTCTCAATGTGGGGGCTGGGGAAAATGCCAAATTTCAAGTAACACTCGACATTCCATGGTAAAGAAAATCAAGTTGGATGTAATTACTCTCCAGGTTTTCTTTTGAGAGTCACATCGCATTTTGATGGTCATCCTTGCATCCTATCAAGACTGCCCCCGCCCCAAAGTAGATCCTTGGATTCACTTTCTACACATCTGTACAAAGTTCCAGATTCCAGACATTCTGTGTGGTTTTCTTATTGTGAAGCTACCAAAGTGTTAATCTCTCAGGTACAAAGGTCTCATATAGAAGCTTCACATGTTTTATTTATAATTTCTATTTGTCAACTGTATTTACTTTCACTTTTGCTACTATTAATGACATTTAGTTGCTTGTTATTTTGGAGACAACACAACATTATTCTGTTTCCATAGCAATGAGGCCACATTAAGCATTATATTACATTACATTACGTTAAGACACAATTACCACCAATTTACTTACCCGTGTTAACAGGGGGTCACCATTCTTTAGCCACCTGTAGGTAGGCTTGGGCCTACCATTTGCTTTACATTCCCAGAAGACACTCTCTTCCATGGCCACATGGATATCGTTTATTTTTTGAACCCAATTAGGTTGAGCTATAGAAGTTAAGAAAGAAAGAAAGAAAGAAAGAAAGAAAGAAAGAAAGAAAGAAAGAAAGAAAGAAAACACAAAGAAGAGACATATATTAATTGTATAATCAATTTCTTTTTATTCTAAGGAATTGAAGATTAAAATGGGCTTTTAATCAAATTCCTTTTCTACCTGACATACAAATAATAAGGGTGAGAAGACATTTGAGGAAAATGTATGTCCTTATGAACATCTTGTTTCTTTTCCATATTATGCATCCTTTTAATCACTTCACTGAAGTCAGCATCAATACAACTACAATTAACCATGGTTTAAATTGTTTCTTATGTCTTGCTATTATTTTGTTTTTAATATGAACAAACTTCAAGGACCACCATACACCTTTGGAATGAACTCATGAATTTCTACCTACACTTGCCCAAGATTCCTCTTCATTAAGAAATAGTCAAGGATTTAAGCTCTTTCTAGCTGGTCACTGGTTGAAGTGGAGGGAGCACCCTCACATATTAGCTATTTCTGGAGCCTTGCACCTTTACATTGATTGGAAAATAGTAAAAACTTTAAAGGCTTGGAAATAAAGTTGACAGTTCTATAGAGATGAAATTGATGACCATTCCACCTTGGCCCTTGAATGACACTGCTAAGCAAAACAACACAGCAGTGAGGGCTACTTTTTATTTTTGGAAAGATAACATGAAGTAAGTGAGCTTTTCATTTAAGCCATTCTATGTTGAATTTTCTTTCATTAGAACAGCTTGTCTCATCCTTTACTAACATATTTCATTCCCATAGGTTACATGGAAAGACTTTGTAGCCCTTATATGTCTATGAGGAATTACTGTCATTCATTATTTGCTGATTCCATATAGGAAGAATGCTAGCCACAGCAGTATGATCCTTAAAGCCAATATTTTTGAGTGAGTGTTGGATTTATCGAATCCTTTTAGAAAATCAAGTTCTGCCCACAAACTCACATGGAAATTCAAGGCAGCATATAATTCTCACATTTCATGATACAGAACACCACCCCAAACACCCACGCTGTACCGTGTTTTTCACGCTTCTGCTGAAAGCATGTCTTATTTTTCTATGATCTCAATAGATATACAACCAATCTTCTATAAACTATTAATAAGCAGCAGTTCTTGCCTATAGCAAAATTCATGCTTTTATCTACAGTGGTGTGTTTATTTGTAAAGACCTTTTGCTAAAACTCCTGCAGAAGATAACCGCAGCTATTATTTAAGATACTTACCTGTTCACAAGATATTTCTACAGGGTAATAATTACTGATGGTAACTTAAAAACTAGAGTTGATACCAGCATCAATCAGAAGATATTATTCAATATTCTTAACACGTCTTTTAGCTAACTTGACCTCAATATATCTATTCTTTGAGGCTTCAAGTCATGGACAATGTAATTCAAAGAACATTAGTAGTGTGAAGGCTAAGCTTACCTTCTACATAATAAACAAAGACAGAAAAACACTCACTGAGTCACTTAACCAGCAGAGGTCTCTAGGTCCTTGACTAAATGCTGTTTTCTTCTTTTTCATCTACAAGCAATTCCATGTTTTTCAAAGAGCAAAACACAATTTTGCAAACTCTCCTGATGGAGATGATGCATGGCTGCTTACGAGGGGAGGGCAAAAGGGTCAACTTCAAAAAAACGTTACAACATCAACAAGCATTAGCTTGAATGAAGGGTTATAACCTGCATCATTGAAAGAGCTGCAAGTTGGCTGCTGTCCTCTATCATCCAGCTGCTAATGGGAAGGAAAGCTCAAGAGGTAATATCTTCCCAGAACTCTACTGGGAAAAGCCAGTGTGTAACTCCTTTAGGACTAATGGCCTAGCCTGCCAGATACACATTCAACCTGCAGCACATTCACCCCCTGCAGAGTCTGGGGAACAAAGCAAACAAGAAGCCACAGAAATCAGTGGAATATTAACAAGCACAAACTTCTGAAAAGGAGTGAGGGAATAAAAAGCAAAACAAGGAAGGACAAATGTAACATAAGAAGAAATGTCAAGCTGAAGTTCAAACAGGAAACTTCACAAACACATACAGAGAAAGATTTCAATGTCACCCACATCCTGCAACACTTGGGCTCATTCTTTCAAAACTATAGAAAGTGGAAGCCAAGCCTTGCTGTTATCACAAAGGAGCAGGAAAGGCAGGCTTTGAAGCGAGTTTAAAATGACCTTGAAAATTTCAAACTAATTAGATACTTCTGAGGGCTCATTCTGTCTTGTGCATTGGGGTTGTGGAAGTCAAGGAGCTCAACAAGAATGAACAATTTGTCTTGGCTGAGGTGAAACCCACAACTAATTTGCTTAATACTGAACTAATTTTGGTTTGATGACAATAGTCATCAGGTACTTTCTTTGCTTTCAAAGAAAAATCTGTTCATAGAAGCCAAATTAACATGACCTAAATATGAGAGTCTTGAAGTGAGCGACTGCACAGGGACCCAGGGAGGTGAGGAATGGGATGGCAGGGAGTGGGGAGATAGCCAAGCTGGCAAAGTGCTTGCTATACAAACATGAAGACCTGAGGTCCACACACAGGGCTCACATGTTCAGGCTGGTCATGGTGACACATGGCTGTAATTCTAGAAGAGAGAGGTAAAGATGGGTATATTTCTGGGCTTCACTGGACAGCCAGCTTAACTGACTTGGAATCAGAGAGGCATATTTCTGGGGTTCAGCTTGCCAGCTTAACTGAACTTATGAGGTACTGTCTTAAAATTCAATGTGGTGGCAGCCCAAAGAATGAGTCTTGGGACTCATCTCTTATTTACACACACAAACACAAACACACAGATAGACACATATACACACTCACAAAGACACACACATACACATAACACACTCCTATGGTATAAAGGAAAAGAATGAGATAGTTTGTATTTTAATGTGCCAAATGTGGATCAACAAACCCACACATTGTCACTTTTTTTACTCCCATTTATTTACATCAGATGAATCACATTTTTATAACTTGATTATTCTTCCTTTCTAGAACAAAATCTGGGATTGATAGAGATGGTTTATAGGTATCCATATGCTCTTGGGTTACCAAGTTAAAAATCTTTGAATGATGAGAATTTGAGCTCAGTGCATTTTAGAAAATACTATTTGTACACTATATTAGAGTAGATGTTGTTTATCATATATTATCAAAATTCAATGATAATATCCAACTTCACATCCCACACATCAGCTCACAGAAGCCCACATAAATTCTTATTTTACAATTCCTAACTAATCTTTTTTGAGATCATGCATTGAACAGAATTAAATAAATTATTATATCAAAAAAGAAGTCACTCTTTTGATCTTTTGCATTCTTCAACATTTGAAACAAAAGAATTACTCCTAAGTCTTGTCTCAAGCCACAAGTTCAAATATACGATTAAATAGCTGTGCTGGGATTTGACCCTGCCATACTGTTCATCTTTTTGACAGATGAACAATCTTTTCATTTCAATCTTTTGCTCAATAACTGCCAGAAATGACCTAAATCAAGGCTTGTATATTCCAGACACTGGAATCATACAAGCCACTTATCCAGTAATAATTTCTATTTCAAACAAATATAATTTGAACTCAAGGGGTCAAACAATCTCAGAGGTTTTCTTCATTCCTCCAAACCAGAAATTTCTCAAAGAAACAAGGGCAAGCCATGGCCTTAGACCTTGGAGCTTTAAATATCTAAGGCAAAATCTTTTAAGTAACTTTTGTAAAGTTGACCTTATAGATATTTGCAATTATTTCTGATGGCTTCAACAATCTTGGAGAAGCTTGAGATATTTCCAGGAAATGCAGAGGGCTGGCTATAACATTGCTCTTACTGGTAGTGGGCTTTATGAGTCTAGAGGTAATTACTCAGTTTCACTTTAACACACACACACACACATTTCTTAGGATTCTTAGTGCTATTTTTAAGATAGTCTCAATTTATCTTAAATCTAACATTCCCTGTGTATATAATAAAATTAATCATCTTTTAATGTTTAAATATATAGTTTATAAGTATAGACTGGTTTTTAATAAGTCCCAGACCTTAAATTTACATACATCATTGAAAGTATACTGACATTATGCTCCAAGACAGTGTCCAACTTTCACCCTCATTCACCTGCGGTGGGCTCTCATCTAGTCCCTTCACTATAATGACTGTCATCCCCTCAGAGGGTTTCAAAGGGGGGTCTACAAGGACTAACGGTTTTTAGAAGATACTGACTTTAACCAGAGCAGGCTTGCGTTGTTTTAAACATTAATCTTTTGACACAGTCCATGTAAAATATGACTTGATGACTAACCACACCCACGTGGAGAAACACCGCCCTGAGATGAGGTGTCGTAGCTGCAAGAGAGTCTGTCTTGGGGGCGTAGAGGCTGACAACCATGTTTTCTTCTTGAACTCAGAGAAAGCTGAACTAGAAACTCTAAAACTCCCCCTGACTTCCGTATGTAAATCCTTATTCACATTGTTTTCTAAATATTTTTATTTATTTTTCAGTTTGGTGTCTCTGTGTATATGGGGATTGCTTGTGCATGTGGGTGTAGATCACTGCAGGGGTCAGATGCGTTGGATCCCCAGGGTACTAAAATCACAGGTATTTGTGAGCCTTAAAATGTGGGTGCTAGGAACTGAATTCAAGTCCTCTGTAAGAAGAGTACATATTCTCAACTGCTGAGCCACCTTTCCAGCCCTTCACATTGCTTTTTGTTTGTTTGTTGTTTGTTTTGTTTTGGAAAACAATTTTATTTCATTGTGGTTGAGATCACAAGAACAACAACAACAAAAAACAAAACAAAAAAAAAAAACAAAAAAACCCCAGTATGTTGAACCAAAATTTTCTTGATACAAAGTATTAAAATACAATAGCATTTCTAAAATGAAATAGGTATACAGTTGTCTTCATTAAGCTAAGTCAAAAACTATACAATAAAGAAAAACATCCATGAGGCAAATGTATGAATGAAGACACTCCTAAATTTCCATTTCATCAAGCATCAAAAAACACCAATCTTTTAGTCCTTTTCTTGTACATTATTCTGTATCCGCATTCTCTGCATCTGATTTGATCTCTGGATTTTATTTCATTTTTGGTGTGACACTCTCCACAAATATATATCATTGGCTGCTGCTTTGGGGGTTGAATGTCTTTCTGGGTGTCCATCTGCAGCTCAAAGATTCCCTTCTCGGTGCACGCAAAAAAACTCCTCACATTGCTTTTTAAACCAATGAAATTCATGCCTCTTGTTCTTCTCTACTAATTTTTTTGTTTTGTTTTGTTCACACATTCTTGTTTATGGCCTTTTCATTTCTTTATAAGAGCCAACTGATTTTTCTGCAAGGGCAGAGGAGATGCCTCTCAACCAACACTTTCCCAGATAACAGTGACAAACAAACATAAAACCCCACCATAGTGAGTGGTTGGAGAGACGGCTCAGCAGTCCAGAGCACTGTTGCTCTTAGAGAAGGCCTAGGCTAGGTTCTCAGCATGCACATACTGGCTCACAATCACCTTTAACTGCAGTTCAAGGGGAGTGGTTGCTCCTTTGTGACCTCCACAGGCACCAGACGCCCACATGATATACACAGTCATACACATAAAATATACTAAAAAAAAAACATCAGTAGAAAATGTGAAGACACCCTAGAAGGCAAGTAATACTAGGCATATTTCTGTTAATAGGTATTCATTAACATAGAAAACAAATATGATAGCCGAAAGTCATGTGCATCTGAGATATTGGATGAGGTTTGTAATGTGCTTCACCCGCTGTCAATGTGACATTCATTAAGAGACGATCACCATTATTTCATATCTTTGGGCTAATGTTTAAACTCATCTGCCATCTGTTCTTACCCAATTTTCTTCCAGCCAGAGAATTCTAAGCTCTTGTCAGATAGGTTTTCTTCAGTCTTAGATATAATAGCAAGCCAGTCCCAGCCTCCACATCTTTGTTTATGCTATCTTAGCTTCAGAAAGATTCTCCTTCCCTTCATTTCCTGACAACATCTGCTCTACAGTATACCTCTTCTAGAACCCCTCTGTCATACCGATCTCAGTTCTCTTCATCTGCAGCTCACTTGGCACACACAGCTTAAGTACTGTGTTTCATCAACTGTATTATTATTATTATTATTATTATTATTGGTTTTTTTTTGAGACAGGTTTTCCCTGTGTAGACTTGATTGTCCTGGAATCACTTTGTAGACCAGGTTGATCTCGAACAGACAGAGATCTGTCTGCCTCTGCTTCTCCCCACTGGGATTATAGGTATGAGCCACCACACCTTTATTTATTCATTGAACATTTTATACACCTATACAGTGTATCATGATAACATGTCCCTAACTTTTCCCTTCTAGCTCCTTCCAGAACCTATATCTTCCTACAGAATTTATGCTCTTTTTTATAATTATTTGTTTAATGAATTATTGATGGATGGATAAATTGATTTTGCTCACTGAGTCAAATGAGTGCTGCTCATGTGTGCATGGGCATAGGGTCATTCATAGTAAATGGTGACACTACTCTGGACCACACGTGACAATTTCTATTAAAGTACATATTTTCTCTTTTCCTCCCAGGGATACTACAGACAACTCATGACTTTATAAGTGAGTTATTAAGAGAGAAAAATTAATCCACAATATGTTCACTATTTAAAAGGCCTTAGGACTGATATGCTAAGAACAATTACACCCCTAAAATTAACCTATAACTATAGTCTAACAGAAACTAATTCCTCTTTTTCATCCTTACCTAAGCCTTTGGTTTTCTGAATCTGCTCTGACTTGTGCTGAATTCATTCCCTTTTCTTGTCCACCATAAATTCTCACTTTCATGTGGCCCACATCTGCATTACATGAGACATATCACTTCTAAGGCAAATGCCAACATGCCAGTTAAGTGGAATCACCCCCCCAAAAAAACTTATCAGGGGCCCCAGATTGAGAATGCGATGATTAGGACTCTCATATGGACCTGTTCTACCCCAAGGTCTCTTCTTTAGTCAGAGGACCTAAAATTATGTCTCTTCTGCCAGTGACATTGGGAGTATTCAGCTAGACCTATGAAGCTCAAAAATGGGACCCTTGGACTACTTGGATCCTCAGGCTCCCTGTAGAGCAACCATGAATGCCACCCATTCAAACCACATATCTGTGTGAGATTTTCTTCATATTCTTCAGACAAACCAATACATCATGGCAGGGTGATCATAGAACTAAATATGAGAACCCAGTTTTCTTCTGTTAAAATAGATATTGAAGAGATTTGCAAAAATCACAAATAATGCCTACCTTCCCCATAACTGCTTGGTTTTGGAAAATAGAATCGATTTTCTTGATATGATAATTGTCAGACCAGACACTGGTTTTTGCCACTTATAATAACTGATGTACTAAATAAAAAATCTGTTTTAACTTACAACCTGGTAGATATTGGTGGATAGAAACACCATATATATATATTTGAGGCTTTTAGTGATTTTTTTTTTTTTGTCTGAAAAAGACACTTGAAACTCAAAGCGTAAGATCCCCTATTAGATAATTAGATTCATGCAAGCCTTGGCACGGTAAGTTCAAGCAATGAAAAAATATACGAATGTTTTGTTTTCTGTGACAGTACAGAAAGGCTAGAATTATGTTTCAACATACTGTCCTTGGTGTGATCCTCTTTTTTTTTTTGTCATTTGCCATTTCTCATGGGGTGAGGAGCTTCTATTTTCATTTCTATATTATTTCCCACATTCTGTTATTACAGCATGTTCTCGATGTACACTCCTTGAAAAAATGTAGTGATTCAATTCACTGGTGTCATTAGATGCAAGAAAAGGAAGAAAAATCATAGGCTGTATCTTACATGACACCCAGGGGGCACTGAGGGTCCCAATATTAGTTCTGCCTAGGACAATTAAGCAGTTATTGCTGTACTGTGAAATCACCTTAACTGCTGTGTTCATCTTTTGGTCACTCTGTCCTTTAAGCCACTTTGCAGAGTTAGATATTATCTAGCTGTCACATATACATAGCACATCCACGGGGAATTAGGGAGCTGTGCACAAAATGCCTCTGTAATCACTTACTGATGACCTCACACACACACTCACACACCCTCTGTAGTACTATCAAGGCCACAACTTTTCCTTTACAGCCACAGGACTGCAGCATACAAGGGCTAGACATAGTATATGAACTTGAAGAACAACCTTTATTTTAAAGAGCTCTTCTGGACAAGTTTGACAAATGTAAACAAGGGAAAAACAGAAAAGGAAAAAAAAGAGTCAATTGTTTATCCAGGTATGCTCATTTCTGCCATACATTCGTTGCAGAGAGTACCAGGGTGACTGACTATGAGTCCCTGATTAAGACACTGAGCTATGACCAACAGCAACACACTTTGTATGGTTGTACGGCAGGCACAGTTCCCAGCATAGTCGGATCCCACACGGAGTACGATTTTGGATAAAATACTGTTTCATCTCTAGGTTTCTATTTTATTTGTGAAAAATCAAAGAAATAGAGCCAATAGTTTCTTCCAACAAGAGGGTTAGCAGTCTTTGAAATAGAGACTTCTTTACTGGGATGTAAGTCTCTCGGCTTCTTAGTGATGAGCATAAAAATTATTGCTATAGGACTAAGTATGCAAAAGGCACTAGGTATCAGACTATCAGTTTGCAGTTCATTCTTTAAGATGAGGACTGTAATTCTGTCTGTGTGTTGGTACAAAAAAAAAGAAAAAAGAAAATAATAAAAGAAGAAAAGACATGACTTCAGAGATGGTCAGACAGAAAGATGATAAACAAGTCCTAAGAGCATGATGTACACTATATTTCATTTCCTCACTTCTACAACAGTACAAAGTGTAGACCTCTAATTCTACTCAGGTGTTTGTGGTCCGACTGCAGTGCCTTTTGTGACACCAGGACAGAAGCTTTCCATAGCATCAGGAATAATCTTGTGCAAGGAATCTTATCTCGGGCTTCATTACAACACTGGAAACAATCTTTCACAGCGAAGAGATGCCCTTACCACGTGGTCCCCATACAAGCATCAGCAGCAGAATTACACCTGGGAAATTAACTGCAAGGCAATCTCATAGCTACCAAATCAAAACCACCACATATGGGGCCCAATATTTTGTATTTTCTTAACGTCTCCCACTTACCCCGATGTGCACCGAAGCTTCAGAACCTCTAGCACGGTGTTTGGAATCCAGTTCTGCTTCTCAACATGTAAACATTAATTACACACTTTAATATCTTTCGAGTCAGTTTCTCTCCAAACTGGGTAGTTGGAGGAATGAAATGAGAAAGCTCCACGGGCTCTGACTCCAAAATGCATCTGTCTCCAATTAAGTTTCTCAGGTTCCTAGTCACGAACTTGGCCCACACAGGCAGGACAAATGGCTATTTAACTGTCCTTTCTGCTCTTGTGATTCAAACAGCTACTCACCACAAAGCAACCAACATTTAGAAGTATGAATCAGATGGACCCTTTTCATCATTCAACAGCCTCCCATGGACTGTGAATAAAACCTAAACTCTCCCTGGTTTTTAAGATATCGCCTAGATCTCACCTTTGTTTCAGACATACGTCCTTGGACCTTATGATTTAGAAACTCAAACTTTCTCTGTGTATCTCAAGCTTGTCACAGAGCTGTCAGCCTCGGGGCTTTTTTGCCTTCTTCCTGTGTTCTTCCTGGAAGCAGCTTCCTCATGGAAGGCTATCATTTTTTATGTTGGGATTTCTGCTTAGAGGACAATCTCACACAATCTTTCCCTGACTCTTTTACCTGTAGCTGGTTCTTTTATATCAAAGGGCTATCATTATTTTTTTCGATAGTCTTACCAAAACCTGAAATATTTGAGTCAGTTTATTTGAGTCCTTTATCTGCTAACATCTGGTGAAATATCAGGTCCTTGAGGGCAAAGACTTTTCTAGCATCCTTCTCTACAGCAGTGGACTCCCACATGGTAGAGCCACATTAAGTCAGTTTTGAACAAATGCATAATATGTTAAAGTCATACGGGAGAAATTCTGCCCCAGGAAAAGAAATGTTAGTATTCTGCCCTAGCAAAATATAGGCCTGAGCAAAATGAGCAAATGAGATGAGGTAGCATAGAATGTCCTGTGTCATCACTAATCTCAGGCCTTCATCCATGTTGAGACAAAGTGGCACCCTCTAACCTATGTGGGCACAGACCAAGCACCACTGATACACTCACAAGAGGAGGGTAGCACAATGTGATTCTGCACAGCAAATGTGTGGAATAGGGTTACACAATTTTTTTTTTTTTTTTTTTTTTTTAGTTTAACAAGGAAATAAAAATACAGTTACCGGTATTGCTACCACAGAGCTCCTAAATGGGTCAGCACTGTGGCACAACAACAAAATAATGTTTTCCCTCAGTTTTCCATTTGATTGCCAGCTATGAATTAGCATACGAGGTACTAGCTATCACTGTGCTGTTCAAACAAAGTTTGAACAAAGTTTGTTTTTGTGCTTCTGCTTCTTCCCCATGCCCCTCACCCTTGGTTTCCTCTTATAATGTCCTGGTTTCTCTTTCTCTTTCATATCCTCATGTGAAAGCTGTCTACTTATATACACAAATACTTGTTTACCCTGGAGATTAGCAGCCACATATGACAGGGAACATGCTAATTTTGTCTATTTTTGGTCACTTTGTTTAATTTTATACTTTCCAAGATCCATCCGCTTTCCTGTAAGTTTAATTTCTCATTAAAACTGAATGCATATATTTCTAAGCCCAAATACATGGTTTCTAATCCCTGAGCAAGCAAACTTTAATGTTGTAAGGAACTTTCTTGTCAACAAAGGCCAGACGCTCCTGGATAAGTGACTAGGGCTACTTCCTCACTATGTAGTGATTTTAATTATAACAATTCATTTAACTTAAAGATTAAGGCAGCTGGCTATTAAGAACATAGCACCAGGAACACACCAAATCTCTCTCTTCAAGAAAAAAATAGACAAGAAAACAAAATGGCAGCCAAGCACTGCTGTATAATGAAGTTCTTCTGTGACAGTGAAAACAGCATCAATGATATGCTAGTTGAGGAAGAACACAAGAATAAACAGATAGAATAGCCAAGTGCTGCGAGAGTCAGCTGATCTGACATCAGGGGTGACTGACAAGGAAGGGACACTCTGCTATTGTCAGAAAACAGGCAGGTCATTCTGCTCATTCTCCAAGCACTGTTGCATACAGCACCATTAAAAGGCAAACATTGTTAGGCCCCGACAAGGCACAGAGGCCCACCGACAAGGTCCATTCTCCACCACAGACTCTATATCGCTATATTTCCAGGTGGGAGACCACAAATCTCGAGGAAGATCCATACCAAAACTTGGCTACACAAGACACCTTCTTAAACATACTGAATGCGAGCATTTCACCTTAGAAGAAAATCATGAAAGTACAACTAACTATTCAGTTCACTGAGTGATTTAAATTACATTTAGGAACCACTGCATCTAAAAGTCTATTCAATTAAGAAGAAATAAAAATGCTGCCCATTTTGCCTAAGCAATTTCAAGTGGTTACTACCTGACATTTAAAAAAAAATTACTAGCTGGATGAGAAAAATAAATTCCAAACAGTTAAAAATATATGGCAATTGCTCCTCACTGAATAAATCTGTAACTGGCTTTTGTGAGTTCATAGTTATATGGTCTGTTACATATTTCAACTTTCATAATTTGAGAAAGAAGACCAAATATTAAACCTATATTTGGTATATATAGAAAGATAGAGAGAGAAGAAAGAAAGAAAGAAAGAAAGAAAGAAAGAAAGAAGGAAAGATGTAGTTTTTTCAAACTACTGTTGTCCTGATTGTTTTATGAAGAATTTTCTAGAATCTCACCATACCAGCTGCTTCAGGGGTATGCAAGTCTAAAATGCTGAGAATTGGACTAAAATGGCTGATGTTAGACATGTTCCTTGACATTCTGTTTCTACAATGCTTTACATGATTATTGAGTGTAGTTTTCAGCTTGTCTTAAAACTAAGGACTTTGGAGGAAGAACATATAAAAATACGTGCTATTGGCCGGGTGTGGTGACACATGCCTTTAATGCCAGCACTTGGGAGGCTAAGGCAGGTGGATCTCTGTGAGTTCAAAGCCAGTATGGTCTACACTGTGAGTTTTAGGACAGCCAGAGCTAGAAAATACTCTCACTCTCTCCCCCAAAATCAACTTGGCATCTCTCAAATTTGTTTTATAATGCATTTCCAAAGAACCCTTTTCAGGATTTCAGATCACTAACCTATGAAACTTTCCAGGACACAATTAAAAGAATAATGTGGCACAGATTTTACACTTACATTACGTTTGGGTCAATACAGATATTTGATCAGAACAGGAACAGCTTCCTTCACATAAAAAAAATGTCTACATAATGAGATATTTTTCATGTTCTACTCTGAGTTCCACTCTGAGAAATAAATTTGGACAGTGTATGTTTTGAAATGTTCATGATATCACATTAAACTGCCAATGAGAAGGAGCAATTATGAAGGATTTGGATGAACTTAAATCAAAATTCAAATGAAGCACAGAGTTTCACATACACACACACATATAAAAAAACCTACTTCCTGTGTCAAGATTATAGCTCAATGGCAAGAAGAAAAAGAGGAAAACACTCTCTGTTGGGAGTGTGTTCACACTACCATCCATATCCTAGACACATCAGCTTAATTCCTTCCTCTCTGCTCCTTCAACATCCTTACCCCCACCTCCACTCTCCACACCTAGAGTCATCTAGGACATGCTAATTATGTAGAAAAGCAAATCTTACACTATCCTATTCTACATGATTCCTTAAGGAAAAGACCAACAGCAGACCTTCTAGTTCTGATTTTAATATGAACAATTGTGTAGCATGGCAAATAAGAACTATAACTGAAAACTTACCATAAAAAGTCAACTGTCCCTTAGCTACATTTTTGCCTCTGGAGTTTTCAGCCACACATTCATATGAACCAGCATCTTCCTGCTGAAAATTAGGAATTTCCAGAGTTCCATTTGACTTATGTCTTCTGGCTTTCCTTGCTATTGGCTTTCCATCAGCTCTTCGCCATAGAATAGTTGGGACTGGGCTGAAAGCAAGAATAAAATGGGATGAACCAAGTTAAAGAAAGCTCTGTCTCTCTCTTTTTCAACCTGCATTGATAACTTCTTCCATTATTTCCAGAGCCATGAATACATTAAAGCATTTCCCAAATTTCATTCCTATATTATCATTATTTTAGCAACATGTATATCTCTAGCATTATTCACTTGATGTTTTTCTTAACATCAACATTAACATTAAACAATGCATTCAACCTCCTACACACCATTACCATTGAAAGAAAAGAACATTTTAATACATTCCTTTTCTTGTATATAGGGGTTTTCTATAACTATTAAAGTAAAAATGTTCAGGCATACACATGGTAGAGTTAAGATAAAGGCAACTTCCTACATATTCTTCCCATTGAGACCAGGTTCATGTCTCCTCTCCTTGAACGTATTGGGCTCTTTGACTACTCTGACTAATAATGAGACATGGGTGATACTGAGTCAATTTCTAGATTCAGACATTAAGAAACAGGCATGTTCCTTTCCCTTTTTCTTGTAACACTCTCTTAGAGACACCTGCAAGAGGTTTGACTGCCTTAACACTGCCACACAGAGGATGTCTCATGGGTGTTTTACCTAATGACAGACCCAGAGGGCGCCATCATCCAACCTTGCCTCCAAGATGCCAGAATGTGAAAGATCCTTGAGGTTTCCACACTGCTGATGTGCCAGATTCACACATCACCCAGACCAAAAACATCACTCAGCTAAGCCCTGCTTAGATTCCTAACACATAAATCATGAGATAACAATAAGATGTTGTTTGTTCCTTCCCAGCTTGTAATGCAACACTAGAGAGCAGAAACAATATATTCTTCCAAATGTTGTCCAGCAACGTGAGTACCACTCTGTAAGTTACACCCACGTACTGAACAAGTGATAGTAAAAGTAATGAGCTCATAAAATCTGGAAACTACAACCTAATTGCTGGCCTAGAGGAGCAGTTCACTCATGACAACCTGATCTGGGCGACACAGTTGTTCTTATTGTCATTTACATATTGATGACCTTACCGATTTAGAGCGGTCCATTTGGAAGGTGGTTTGTGGAAACAATAATTAAAGTAGCAAGATGAAGAAAAGAGCAATCTGTGGAGTCTTAATGTCCTCTCAACACATCTATCATCCTTTTTCCATAACTGTTTGGAACACATCTTAAATTGCCAATGAGGGCAGCCTGTCTGCAAATGAGTGTTTTTAAGCTAACTGGAGCTTTTAGGAGTGCAGCTTCCTAGCAGGGGATGCAATTATTTACTTATTTATTTTGCACAGAAACACTCACAGTGAAGTAATTACACTGAATACTTGCCAATCTTCTCTGAGAAACTTGAGATGGTATTTAAAAAATTAAAGTTATCAACTCTACTATATTTGTTTTAAAATAATTTGAGTTCATTAGGCAGATACTGCCTCAAAATGCAGGAGGGCTCCATCAGAAGCACATTATGGTTGCCTTTATATTCAATCAGATATCTACTTAATACATGCCTTTAAACATAGCTGCACTTAAACTAGTCTTCTACTCTTAAGTGGGCAGTGATGGTGTGTTTCAGCAGCAAAACATGCATATCCAAACATTTCTGTGTGGATGCGAGGAACCCAATTTGTGTCTTTTGTTTTTATTTTAGCACCATTTAAGCACAGTGAATAGACTCTAATTCGTAGTCCCTTTGGAAGTGTGAGCAAGGTGACATTTTCTTTCTCCAGGGTGGGTTTTCTAAAGTATCCTCTTACAAAGATCACCAAGTTTAGACCTTGATGATCCAGTCACCTGTCCTACTGTCTGCCAGTTATTTCATAGGTTCACAGAAAGATTTTAAAATGTTTAAGATCAACTACACTACAGAGTGTGCTATCTGCTTTTCTTGTCAGCGATAAATCATTGCTGTGTCTTACACATGGCTTTACAGCTCGCCATTCAGTTCTGTGCAGTGTTCAGTCCTGCAGCTCTGTCACAATTCATATACTGTGGTAAGTTTTTCAGAGATAAAATTTACCACTGTATTAAACCTCAACAAAGTGTTCCAAAGGAAAGATATTGTCATAACCTGAAAATAATCATTCCATTAGAGTTGAAAATACAATTGGAAATGTAAGGAATGGCTACAATTTCTGTAAAACACAATAATTCCATTTAAAAAATATTATTCACTGAGACAAGGACTGGGCAAAAACTTGTAATGTAGCTTTCATTAATACTCAGGCCCAGAAAGAAAAAACAAAACAAAACAAACAAACAGAAAAAAAAAACAGACAGAATTAAGAATGAGTAGCTAGCTAGATGGGGCTAGGAGAAAAGACAGTTTCAGACCACAAAAATCCACAAGGGCCCCAGTGCTCACCCTTCTGGGGGTAGTTTATATCGTTGATGCCAAACCATTCCTGTTGGTTACTGGCATATAAAAATCCCAGCTGATCTGAGTTTCCTTTCTGATGCCCTCTGGCAGATCTTCTATGGGGAGGCTAAGCACTTTCCAAGTAGATTCTTTTAAGTGTAATCCAGATGGAATAATAAAGTTGTGAATAATTTTCAGACCACTCTAAAATAGACTCTTAGATATCAGCTCTTCTCTCTCTCCAGTGAGAGCAGAAGGGAATCCAAATGAGAGAGAAGTGTTGGGCAATTTGAAAAGAAATTTAAGAAAATTTTTATGTATCCCCTGTAAACGGGGCCAGAATGAAAGTCCCCATTTTTCCAAATAGTCAGCTTGCCTGTACCTCAAATAAAGGCCATTGTTTTCCTGTCATTCTGGGTTAGACAGCATGTACATTATAGGTCATAATAATAGAATGAAATACTTTTTCAGAATCGCCCGTTCTCTTCTCCTTTGTGGCCATGTCCATTGTGGTAGCCAATCCTTCTGGAGCCATTACCTGTCTGTCTCCATAGGAAGAGGGCAGAATCAAAGATGCACGTGCAGAATTACAAAGAGAAAGATGATTTGGTTTTCATGCAGCTCAGAAACCATTGCTGTGAGCACCAAAGACAATTCTCTCCCTGCTGGGGCTGAAGGAAGATGAACAGCCAGAACTTACTTTCCTAAGGCAAAGCATTCCAGCTTGACTGTTGTTCCTTTTTCAGCTGGGACCATTTCTGGAAACTGTACTTCTATTTTGGGTTCATATTCACCCATCACCCCTGTGAACAAACAAAGAAACCAAGTCTGAGAGGTTCTGTCAAGATGTATACGTGTTTTCTTTCAGTATAGAACATTCCTATACCCCTATGTGCAAATTTAACTTCATCTAAAACAGGCTCTGCACTAACACTGTGAAACCCCAATACTTCCTCCAGTTTCTTGAAGAGAAAAATTTATAGTACAGCACTTATAGCACCTGCAGAGGGTTAAATTATGCACACTCCTCCGAAGTACTTTGCAAAGGTGGTGAAAGAAAAAGAGTTGACACACTCCTAGTCACCAAACATATCACCCCCTTGGAAACACACGGCATAGAACATTAAAAAGTATTTAAAAACAGTTTTAAAACACATCCTTTCTGGTGTCCGTACAGTGATTTCTCAAAGTCATTCTACGGCAACAGTGTTTATTCTATTCTGAGGCCAACCCGAATAAATCTAAACAACTACATTCAAGGCATAATAATCCTGTGTTATATAAGGTCAACCCGCAGCAAATGATTAACACCTATGGAAGACATTTTTTTTTTTTTTTACATGAGCTTGTCCTGTTAGTGGAGTAGTAATCTTGGTAGTCATAGTTACCAATATCTAGAAAGAGGACTGTGTGATAACAGCTATAGTAACAGCCCAACATATTAAATCTATGTTTAATGACTAAAAACACATAATTTATTTCCTACCAATACTATCTTGATTCATTTGTCAGGGTTGCCATCCGTTTCATACATTTATTTCTATTTAATTCCTGGACATTTCCCATGATTACCGATTCAACAGTACTGATGAAGAGTTTGGTATTATCTAGGGTTTTTTTTTTTTTTTTTGTAAAGTGGAATGGTCTCAATCCAGTTCATCTCTCTTTTAAGCCTCCCTTAGTCAGAAGAAAAGGAAATGAATGGTTTCAGAAGAAAAGAGTAACAACGAGGAACGGACGGCACAGGTGCAGTGACAAAGAGAGCTGATTTTATTCATCCTACAAACACTTTTCATGTTCTGGCTTAGAAGCTGAGAGGCGTCACAGGGATCTAATCAGTCTGTGAAAAAAACAACTCAGCACTATGAGTTAGGTTTTTACAGTGTTTCTAGGTTCACCATGAGGTCTGTTGTGGAAGGGCGAACTTGAATACAGTTTTGCTGTTGCTGTTTGGTTTTTATTTTTCTTGGCTAGAATAACAGGAAATCCTAGCTTTAGGAGGGACTTTGAGACAATTTCCCCCTGTGTTCTTTAAAAAACATCTTTTTAGATTTGTTTGTTTTATCTTATGTGTGTGAGTGTATATAAGCACGAGCAAAGACTACGTGTGTGCCTCTAAAGAGGTCAGAAGGTTCTTCTGCTACTGGAGTTATAGATGGAAGTGAGCCACCAAGTACATGCTGGAAACTGAACCCTGGTCTTCTGCAAGAATAAGTGCTTTTAACTGTTGAGCCATCTCATCTTTCAGGGTTGTTAAGTTTGACGTACTTCTGTGTAGTGAGAATGTTTAGTTTCTTTAAAAGCCTAGAAATGTATTGGAATATGTTTTTGCTTTAATCCCAGGTGTGGGATGTGGGGCTGCTTCAGATTGTCTACAGAAGCTAACTAGGATTTGTTTCTTGCTCTGACAGGGGTGTGATTTTGCCAGCTGAGGGTAGTTTATGTTTGGAATTCTGGGGACTCTTCGGAGAGTATATAATGCCAGAGCCCAGAGATGTGGGTGACGGGATGAGCTGCTGATTTCCCTGCTGCTGTTGCTGATTGCTATTTGCTCCAGCTCCTGCTGCTGTTGCTGTTTTGGAGATACCCTGATGAGGAAGATCAAACTCACCCAAGGAACTTGATGCCCCTAATCAGTAGAAAGTAGTCTAATGATATTGACACCCTCTTTCCCTTCTACCTACTTTCTCTTCTACCTAGTGTTGTGGGGGCTTGGAAGGTGTAGGGAGTTAGAAAATATAACCCGATAAAGTAGCCAAAAGTCTTGCTATGCTTCTGTGCATCGAGGGGAGATCACAGTTAAGGGATTGAGACAATCCTTAACCCTTGAAAGGGTACAACTGCTGTTAATATCTGTCCTTCCCTTTGCAAGGGAGGTTGTAATCTCAATCAGTTTAACATTTTGTTTTCAGCCGCACCAAGATCTAGTGAACGGTCAAAGTTAAAACTCAAGTCTTGAGCCTTCACTTTTTATTGTGCCCTTTCTTCACTGTCAAAGTAAAGTAAAATACACCAAAGCCACATTTGACTTGTTCAGAAACAAAGCTGTTTCTCTTTTTTGTCAAGTCTCTGCCATAATTTCTCCTGCACCTATGTTTGATTGCCTCCCTTTGAGCATTCGCACAAAGCTGACTGGGTAATGGTGTGGTGCATGCATACTAACAACAGCATTCACAAACAGCTGCTGAACTTGCTAACAAACCGTCTGTACAGTTGAATCATCATCCCATAAATATCAGTAGTATGACTCGGAGTGTAGTGAGCAAGTTAACACCTCTCAGTGATGTGCATGTGGCTGTGTACTCTGAGACTGGTGTTAATTGAAAAAAAAAATTGCCTTGAGAGAAAGAGATCTTTGTCTTCCCAGGAAATCAAGGCAGTTTGAATTGCAATATATCACACTTTGGATAGAGATGAGACAATAAGGTTAAAAGAACAAGGGGCCAGGGTGTCTTAGAAGTGATTGACTTTGTCTGTGTGACTTTTTCCACATGTGCATCACGTTTCTGTAATGACTCTGTGAAGATTATAGTGAGGAGTAAATGTTTCTCACTTAACCTTGTTCTGCACATCAGTATGCATGTAGGTAGACTCAGTGTCCAGATCCTTAAATGTATATTTCTCCATACTAAACATTTTGCCTATCAGAGTGTGGATTCGGAGTCCCCACTTGTAGAACGGTTACATAATTCTCTTCCCAGTCTCTGAATGTCCTACTCTCTAGCCCATTGTAGTTTGTGAATAACCGGGGGAATCAATTTTTTTTTCTACTTCATTTCATACTATTTCCAAAATGCCTTTAAAAAATAAACATTTTTATGGTAACAGCAGTATTTCTTTTTTCCTATCTACCTATCTACCTATCTACCTGTCTGTCTGTCTGTCTATCTATCTATCTATCTATCTATCTATCTATCTATCTATCTATCTATCTAATCACTTTACAGCCTGATTCCAGCCACTCTCTCCTCTCCTCCCAGTCCTACCCTCATGTCCCCTCACCCCACCCTGCTACCCCCTCTTTTTCTCCTTCTTCTCTGAGAAGAGGAGGCCCCCGAGGGGTATGAACCTACCCTGGCATCTCAAGTTGAAGCAGGACTAAGTGCAGCTCCTTGTACCAGGGCCAGAGAAGGCAGCCCAGTTAGAGGAAAGGGAGCCAAAGGCAGGCAACAGAGTCAGAGACAGCCCCTACTCTTATTGTTAAGGGACCCACATGTTGACCAAGCTGTACATCTCCTACATATGTGTAGGGGTCCAGGTCCAGCCCATGCATGTTCTTTGGTTGGTGGTTCAGGCTCTGTTTCCCCCCACGGACCCAGGTTAGTTTATTCTGTAGGTCTTCTTGTGGTGTCCTTGACCTCTCCGGCATCCTCTGTTCTTCCTCCCATTCTTCCAAAAAACTCCCTGAGTTTGGCCTATTGTTTGGCTGTGGGTCTCTGAATCTGATTCTATCAGGTGCTGGATGAAGCCTCTCAGATGACAGTTATGCTAGGCTCCTGTCTGCAAGCATAGCAGAGTACCATTAATAGTGACAAGGGTTGGCTCTCTCCCACGGAATGGTCTCAAGGTGGGCCAGCCATCGGCTTGCCATTCCCTCAATCTCCGAGCCATCATTATCCCTGCACTTCTTGTAGGTAGGACAAATTTTGAGGCAAAGGTTTTATGGATGGGTTGTTTTCTCCTTCCTTCCATTGGAAGTTCCACCCGGTGATTTCAGATTCCATATCCTAGCTGCTAGAAGTCTCAGTTAGGGTCACCCCCATTGACTCTCGGGAGCCTCCCCTGTCCCAGAGATGACCTTCCCACATACTGATTTTCATTCTCTTTCCTGCTTCATCCCCAACTGCTTTCCCCACACCTGATCTCCAACCCCGTTGCCCTACATACCCTCTCCCACTCAGTTCCTTCCTTCCATCTACTTCAGTTGTCTATTTTTAAAACTAAACATTTTAGATATAAATTGCATAAGGCCAATTCATTGATTTTTAAGAGCATAGTTCAATGATTTCTAGCAAGTTTGTTTAGACATGCCACTGTCACCATAAACTGGTTTCTGAGCATTTCCAATCCCCCAAATAAATGCTCTGGTTTTTCTTCAGATTGTATAAATATTTTGCCAATACTCAAATAATATCTGTGATGACCATTTACTGTTAATTCCCAGCTCCAGCCCCAGCTCCAGCCCCAGCTCCAGCCCAGCCCAGCTCAGCTCAGCCTGCGGCAACCTCTGACCTGCTTTCAGTACATTTGCTACTCTGGGCATTTCATATTAATGGAGTCATATATATGCGTCCTGTAAAAAATATTTCTTTTTAACTTATATGTATGTTTGTCTTCATGTATGTATATACACCACATGTATGTCTGGTTCCTTTGGTGGTCAGAAGTAGATTCCCCAGAAGTAGAATTACAGACAGTTGTGAACTGCCATGTAGGTTCTGGGAACTGAATCTGGATCCTCTCCAAGTGCAGCCAGTGGTCTTAACTGTCTGCCTTCTCTCTAGTCTCCATTTAGTGTCTTTCCTGTCTGGATTCTTTCATATGAGATGCTTTCAAGGCCCATGCTATTGCACACCAACATTCTGCTTGACCTGCTGCAATACAGGAAACTACAGTGTGCATAATCTCACATTTTATTTATAAGATAAAAATTTGCATTAGTTTCATCATAATGGTCCTATCAAAGAACTACAATCTAAGTAGCTGAAAGGAACATATTTTGCCTTAGTTCTGAAGGCGCTGTCAGGTCTGACTCTAAGACTCTGGACATGTACCTCTGCTTCTTCCAAGGTTCTGGGAGTAG